CCCCCCTAAACAGCAGAAAATGGCGCCGATTCCCATCAACCAACACGCGGTCTCTCCAATGTAACATGGTCCGTTGATACTCCCCAGCTGGGACCGTCCGGAATAGCAGCTCTAGTGCAAGCACCAGAGCCGCTAAAATCGGTTCTCATTCGAATGGAAAGAGTTGTGTGCTATCTTTCAAAATCATGACTCGGAAATAATTTCAAAATAGATGATGGGATGCTCTTCATTTGTATAGTTCAACGATCACGAGAAGACAGGACGTCTGGACAACTGCCCAAGAGATGAGTACAAAGCTGGGCCCTCTCTTTCGAAAGATGAATGGATGTGATTTACATTTTAATATTCTATGACCGTCCTTCGGGATACAGACAAATTTTCTTTACACATCAACTACTTTCATGCTTGTCTTGTATGATGATGAGTGGAAAAACCGTGCCCGGGCCTTCGTCATGAGAAGAGGAAGAACTTGAGAAAAAGAAGAAGAACTTTAAGAAAAAGAAGAAGAAGAGTTCGCATCAAAATTCCACCAATCTAATTTAAATTAACTATATACGATAACGGTGAAATTCGCCTTCCTTGCGAAATACGTGGATTGTCAAAAATAAGGAAGTGCATGGAAATCGACATCATTCCCTACATGACAGCGGTAAGAAACATTACCACCAAGAAAATGTCCCTGCGATTGTCTTGGGCAAGACGGTATCCTATTCTACCAACGTCAAACTTTTACACTGCCGTGCTAAGGAAGAACGGCGTATGAGCTTTTTGACGTTGCCAGCGAACACCTTAATAGTCGATTCTTTACCATACCTGAAAATTGAGAAAAATCGATATTCGATGATTTACGCCTCGCCACTGAAAGGACTTCAAAGTTGATTAAATCCTGACTAAAATTCTGCCAAGACCAAAAATTTATAGCGCGGTATGTTTTATTTTGCATTTATTTTTAGTTTATCTTGAAAAGTTTTCCGAGAATCTCCCATAAAGAGACCATAAAAGACAACTCTCTATTGGTAATAATATTAATTAAAGAGCTAAAAAGTTTTTCAACGAGTAGTACAAGGATGTTTCCGATTCGCCTTCAACTGCGTTCGCAGCAATTGTTGTTGCGA